TTTAGACGGTTTGCTGAATTATATATGTACATTTTTCTTTTGTTTAGATTCAAGAGGACTTCTGTGGAAGAAACCTCTCCAGCAGCGTCACTTTGTTCCAGTGTGGAATCTGCATCCACAGAAGATGAAGATGATGAATGCTCATCTGATGAAAACATACAGTAAGTCATGGGATGATAGAAAAAGTTTCGCATTTATTTTCATTTCTACTTCATCTTAACTCTGGTTACAGTCACTCAAAGGGCTCCCATGCTGCCGTGAGCAAAGCGTTACCGCAGAAATTGTCATGGTCAGAACATTTTTGCAGTTGCATTTGTCCAAGCTGAAACCGATTCTTTTTATTCAGTGAGAAGCAGGAGTTCATTGCTATGAGTTGCTGCAAGCAATTCCTTCAACAAATGATAGCGCGTAAAAATGGTGAACACTTCAGGTAGGATTTTTATTTGTTTTTTTTTCTGTTAATTTGCCGTAAAAAGGTCTTTATCCCAAGGTGAACGCTAGGTGTTTAGTGGGGTGGCGAAAGTTGCTGTTCAGAGTAACATCGATTTTGGCCAGAGCTGATCGCGAACACAGAGGCTTATGAGATAATGATCGCTCGATTAGAATACATTCCGAACGGATCAAGCGTTCGAATTCCGTTCTCTCTTGATAACGCGGAATGGGTAGCTTCACGAATTCTCGCCATAAATAGAGCTCAGAATAGGCTTTTAATTCCAAGTGAGTGGAACGAACCAATTGTTAAGCGTAATTTCTTCTTATGCGTCAACTTATGAGCTACTCAATCAATAATGTTGGGCCCATCCGTAGGAGTTACATTCCTATTTCTAGAAAAGCAAATATTGTAGCTTTTCGCTGGGCATCGCAAGAATCGCTCTGAGAAGCATATACGACCACTCCATCAAGGGCGTCAGCTAATAGAGAGGACTTCGAAAGTTTGTGACGGAGATAGTGCAGACCTTGCTTACAATCACTATTATTAGGCTGAGCACTTCTCGAATATTTTTTTAGTGCAGTACCGTGAGCCCTTTTCAAAGCGATAATGAAAAAAAAAGTCAAAGAATCCTTCATTGTCAGGAAAAATGGTATCAAGGTAGCTGTATGAAATATCCCTGGTGATCTTTTGGACTTATGTTACGCAATTACATCGGAACGCATGCGTGAACACACAGAAAGTGTCGAAGCTGCGAAGAAGAAAGCTGACGGGGAAGCAAAACCCTCAAAAACATGGTGTGTGTTTCCTTATAACTTGTATCTGAGTTCATGCGACTCAATATAATCACTCATCGTTGCTCAATACTTTATCCACATTGTTTGAGGACTCCACTGAAGCGTCGTGAAGGTCTTTGTTCATTTTCGGATCAAAGAACAGCGAATGCTCGACTTTTGTCACGTTGTCATCGCGTTTACGATGAAAAAAGGCAAACTAGGAGAAGAAGGTGGAACGCGATGCGTTATCTCCACAATGCACTGCCTGGATGTGTCATTGGTGAGGGATTTCTATTTAATACGATATTATTGGTGGTTCGCCTGTCTGCACCACAGGACTTTTGCCTAGGTCGAGGTTTCTGAACCATTTATTTTTCCAATTCCCTTCATATGAATTTTTTCGATTTTCTTAAACATACTCAGCACCACCACAGGACGTGCCATAACTATGGTAACAATATAAGTATGGCAAAGATAGTGCCAGTTGAATGAATTGTAACTGGAGCTCCACTTGTATTTACATTGCATCCCACCAACTATTCCGCGGTAACGTTTGCTATACACTGCGTCCCATAATTATAACTCCACCTAAGAATTTCCCAAAATCTCACAAATTGAGATGTATAAGAAAAAGTCTGCAATGTAGCATTGTAGTAAATACAAATACGAAATTACCTATGAAACATCAACTTCCAACTTGAGACCCCAGGAATTTTTTCTAATAATTTTTGTTAGAAAGGGCCACTTAGCCGACGTCCCAAAATTATAACTCCACCTCATGTTTTTCTATTATTTTTCACTTCCGTTTCGCCAAACTTTTTTATTGTGCTAATATCTTACTTCTCAAGGGGACAGTATGATAGAAAATGCTGTCTGACTTTTTAAAAGGTCAGCTCGTCGCAAAAACTGTTGAACAACGCTTTCTCGCCAGATTTGGACCAAATTCACGCCAAGCTCAAGAATTTCTTCAGAGGTCTTACACGATATGGAGCTTCTGAGAGCTCTAAAGGTCTCTCATTGATTTTCGATGGAAACACAAAGGCCGTGCCACAGAGGAAACATTCCTTTTTAGTAAGCCGTGCTCTGACATCGAATCTTCTTTGAAACTTAATGTCTCAACGGAACATTGTTTCTTGCTTGCGAACGAATCCCAAGTCGATTCTTGAGCGGAAAACTTAGAAGGCATCATCTATGGCAAGAAACCATTGCGAAAATCGGGCTGAGTTTTCCATGAAGGTGCACCGAGCTGACTGGACTAAGGTTCGCTTTTACTTGCGATGCATTATCGTTTGTCCGTCTTTCTCTTCGCCATTTCCTTTCTCCTACTAGTATTTCGCGAAGAGAAAAGCTGCTAAGGATAAGAGAGACACGAAAAGAAAAACAAACAAATGTTACAACATATCAAGCAAAAGCGAACCTTGCTCCAGTCAGCTCCGATGCACCTTCATGGAAAACTCAGCCCGATTTTCGCAATGGTTTTCTTGCCACAGATGATGCCTTCTAAGTTTTCCACTCAAGAATCGACTTGGGATTCGTTCGCAAGCAAGAAACAATGTTCCGTTGAGACATTAAGTTTCAAAGAAGATTCGATGTCAGAGCACGGCTTACTAAAAACGAATGTTTCCTCTGTGGCACGGCCTTTGTTTCCATCGAAAATCAATGAGAGACCTTTAGAGCTCTCAGAAGCTCCATATCGTGTAAGACCTCTGAAGAAATTCTTGAGCTTGGCGTGAATTTGGTCCAAATCTGGCGAGAAAGCGTTGTTCAACAGTTTTTGCGACGAGCTGACCTTTTAAAAAGTCAGACAGCATTTTCTATCATACTGTCCCCTTGAGAAGTAAGATATTAGCACAATAAAAAAGTTTGGCGAAACGGAAGTGAGAAATAATAGAAAAACATGAGGTGGAGTTATAATTTTGGGACGTCGGCTAAGTGGCCTTTCTAACAAAAATTATTAGAAAAAATTCCTGGGGTCTCAAGTTGGAAGTTGATGTTCATAGGTAATTTCGTATTTGTATTTACTACAATGCTACATTGCAGACTTTTTCTTAGACATCTCAATTTGTGAGATTTTGGGAAATTCTTAGGTGGAGTTATAATTATGGACGCAGTGTATAACTTCCACACCCCCACAAACACCCATGTCGCAGTCATTAGAAACTTATCGGGTACCCTCAGCGGGCATTTTCAGCCGTTTATAAGCAGTTAGTGTTGCGAATCACCGGTGTGTGATTCGCAAGGACAGAAAGCGACTTTTTCACATTTTGCGGTGCGAAGCATTTTTCGCCGGGGAACCCCAGATCCACGCTGATTAGTGTTGGACCTAGGGCTCCACAGCGAGAAAGTTTGACGCTGCGAGAAGCGTAAAAGTCGCTTTTTGTTACAGCTAACCCCATCCGAGCCATTGACTTCCAAGGAATCGCACCGCTGAAACTGTCGGAAGGATAGAGACATAGGTAACATCAAACTATCTGAGGGCGCACGCATAGTCGGTCGGACGACAGCAACGATCGTAACTGTCGCACAGCATTGGATGCGTATCGATCGTCGGACTTGCCTGAGTATTCGACGATTAGATGCAGTTAGACAGTCAGACAGTTGCGATCGTTGCTGTCGGACGACCGACTATGCGCCGGGTGGGTACTTAGGACAGAACGCGACTTTTTCGCTCTTCGCAACGCGACATCGCGCGGCAGGCTGGCGCACCCGCAGCGAAAACAACTACGGTATGGAAGAACGCGCGATTGGAGCAGCTTTTTTGCATGCGTGAATTTGTAAGTTTCTGATTCCTTACTTGCCCGCGCTCACACCCATTGTATTGATAAATGCGGTGAATCACTAATTCTGTCTCATTATTGAAAACGTTTTGTGACTTACACGATTCCGGGCGATGCCACAAAATGGTGTTTTACGAATTATCGGTGAACGAGGGTTTAATAGTGTCGCTTGTGCTTGCATTTTGTGGGTTCATATTGTTGTATAGACATCTGCATAAGGGTATAACATCTTTTACGGAACGCTTCTGTCCTCATCACGGATATGATACTCATTTTTGACGCTGGCGCCATTTGGGGCCGGGTGGCGCCACAACTGATTCCCACTAAATTCGCTGTAAACTTCTGTATAGGGGTTATTCGGGGTCCTGATTTGTTTGTTAGCGCTATTCGGCGCCTGCTTCCTGCTCGTCTGCGCCCTCGCACTAATTAGATCGCAATAGGACTAAGCCTTTGAGTAGTGTAGGGCTCCAAAGTGGGTAGGCCATTCCCCTGTGGTCTGACACACTCCAACTTTTGCCACACGGTGCGTGGTTTACCCACTCCGGAGTTTCACTCCCCTCCCCTAAGCTTAGTCGTAGGCGCTGTAGGTGAGAAAGCTTAGAAAAGCAGAAAGTATGCGTTAAACAGCACGAATGAAAAATGAGTGTCATATTCATGATCAGGGCCCCAAATAACCCCTATGCAGAAGTTTACAGTCGTCTCATCAAACGTCCATCAACCATTCCTCTTCCAGGTTCTCCAGAAGCTCTACCATCCATCTCTGCAAAAATAACCTACCTCCCTCTTCACTGCTAGTTAGCGGTCCACTTCTGGTTACCATTTCCTCGTTCATTATCAAATCCATGGCTATTAAGCTTCAAACTCCTTGTCGCAATCAAAGCCGACACAAATATCGCGCTCCAATCGCGCGTTCTTATACCGTAGTTGTTTTCGCTGCGGGTGCGCCAGCCTGCCGCGCGATGTCGCGTTGCGAAGAGCGAAAAAGTCGCGTTCTGTCCTAAGTACCCACACCCATGCGTGCGCCCTGAGAGTTGCGTGTAGGCTAAGCAACACCGACGTCACAAAAGTTAATTAACACCAAAAAGCGGTATAGTTATTAATTATTGACTGTTCTGTCCACACATTAGTCGTTAACATGTTGAAAAAAAATGATGGGAGTGACTAACGGTAATCAAATGTAACGCGCCATGTTTTTTTTTTTCAGAGGGAATTGACGTTTTTGATATGGCTCAACGAACAAATTTGTCTGTTGCTGGTATATTTGGTCCAGAGCACAAGCTAGCTCTTACAGAAATGCCATTTGCTTCAGATATGGACAATAGGTAAGTTTTCATCAAGCTTCAGGCACGACTACTTCCTTTCATTTCCTTTCAGGCCAGCTTACCTGGATATGGAGGAGCTACTGGGACTTATGGATCGCACGCTCGCGCTTCAGTCTGGCTCCACAGTGGATCAAGAAGGCAACAAGCAGCTACTATAGACTTTCTTACAGTGGTTCGTTTCTTAAGTAGAATCTGACGAAGTATTCTCTGTCTTCCGTGTGTAGTTCACGATGCAGTCGATTCGATTTCTCTTAATTCAGAATGGTCTCCACTTCAAAGCTACCACTGGGGAGCGTGGGCGATGTCATTTGATGGTTTCGCCTGCGCGATTCCTGTTCCGCCAGTTGTAATTGATGGCTATGGCAATGTAACTGCAGTTCAGAGAGCGGCTGTTCCGAAATGTTAGTATTCTCATGACGTAATACCGTACGCTTTTGATTATTTATCAAATGATGTTCATAATAATTATTCTCACCATTTCGAGTAAGGATTTGTGCGCCAATTAGGGGCAAGTACCATGATTTCATGAAGGGTCTCTTTTCACACATTCACAGTTATCGTTTGTTCCACTGTTTGAGCCTTACAAGATAACCATTATTTAGTTGGGGCTTCTACAAATAGGTCGACTACTAACGGGGTGGGATATCGTTTTCTCTAAACAGCATACCGAACATTTAAATTTGAGATGCGAAAGTTGGTCAGAGATTCGATCGGATCTAGTGATAAATTCGAACAGGTTTGCACCACTCTATGGCCCGAATACAAGAAGCTTTATAGAATGCGCAAAAGAAGGGCAGTTCCGAAATGTAGAGGATTTGTGGCGAAAGGTGCTTACTTGAAGACCTATTTGGGAGCGGATTTTTGCCGAACGGAAGCTTTCTGGCCTCAAGTGTTCGAATGTTCGACTAAAGCTGGAATAGCATCAATTCGAGTTAACATCCCGGTTCAGGCATAGCCCGTGTTTTCGCTGGCACGGGATTGGAAACCTAAGCGAAGGCCACGGATGCTCAAAAAAGGGACTCTCCTGAAGGGGCGACCTTTCACCAGTGATGAGTTTCACCAGCGAAATAAAGATATGTCTGCTCTCAGATTGAGATTGGTGCAAGCCCTAGAGCTAACTTTTCCGCCGGCTTCCACCAGTTACAAAGATGGCCAATAGTGCCTGAATGTGAATGTGGCGTATCATTCAGTGGGAGGCGAAAAATTGGCTAACTTTTTCAGTAGTTCAACTTATGACCCACTCTGCGCAGCTCAGAATCGGGCAATTTGAGTGTTTCATTTTTTAGTCTTATGTCGGGTGTAATCCTTGATGAAAGCAGTTGCAGCTATCAGCAGATGCACGCATTGTGGGGTCATTCAAGTTAGGGTTTAGCTTAAGCAGTTAAGCTTCCAGAGGAAGGAAAAAAGGTGCTCTCAAAGGATATAGTCGGTGCAAAAATGATATGAGACTCTCTTTTTTACCCTCGACGTTACCACTTTCGTGCAAAAAGGCCATCATAATCTGCAGTCTGTTACAAGCCAAGAGCAAAACCTGCGTATCTTTCTGATGGGAGCATTCAGTGTTGGACAAAATTCTAAAAGCAATGAATGTGTGAATACTATCTGTACGCGGAGACCACCTTTAGCCCCTGATCAAATCTAGGGCCACCGCGTCTGTATGTCGGTGCGAACATGGCATTAAAGGTACACCTCTCCAGCAAGCTTACCTGGTAATTCTACCCGAATTGGAAATAGATGGATGCGATGTGGACCAGGAGGTAAAAAAGATAAAAAAAACACCTGTTAAATGTGGAAACATGAATACTCTTGTTCAATGCTGTAGAAGTAGGCTACAATGCAATTTGCCAATCTGTAGGTAATATCGCAGCGAAAGTCATCAAGACAGATTTCACAAAATTCAGCTCAATTTAGAAAAATGAGGTCAAAGTAAAGGGCCCCCTTCTCACCTATTTTGCTTTACTCGTAGCCTCTACATTTCGTTGTGATTCATAAATAGTTTTGACTTTGATAATTCTCATGTTTCAGTATTGTATCCAGAGTTCGCTTATCGAAAGATGTACAATGTTGCTGAGAATGTATATCCACGTTCTCTTGATTCACCTTTACCTAGAGGGAACGAGGATGCAGATTCAGTGGCTCACTGTCCCATGTGCTTGCGGACATCTGACTATTACGGTTTGTCTCAAGTTTTACTGCTCCCTTGTGATGAATTATTGTGAGGAGAATATGTTTTGCATATCTCTTCTAGCTGACATGGATTTTGTGCGAATGTGTTTCAAAGGATTGCCACAAGAAGTTCTAGAGGATTTCGAATTACCTGATGTGGACACAAGCTGCACTACTTACCACCGATCAAGTACCGCTCCTCAAATGTATGTTTGTAATTAATAATCATTTGCTATTATTCGTGGGTTTTTATGATTATTCTGCAGTTGCAGCGCAAACAAAACGCTTTTTTTTCATTTCGAATGAAGAAGTGTTTCAGAATGACCGAGGAAGATCTGAATGAATTATTGAGTGGTGAGTAAGGATATGAGGGACCATGTGGAAGCGGATTATAAAATGACTAGCTTCTATTAACAAAAATGTTAATGAAGAGCACCGTTTTCTTCAAGCCCAACAGGAAGGATTAGGAAGGAAGCAACAACTCCACTGGAAGGCTTGAAATGTGAACTTTTTCGAACACCATCTAGCGGGCATTTACTATCTCCGTTATTATTCGCATTGAACGTGAACTTCGAGTTCGAAAGACTCGGAGCTGGTTCTTTTTATGTTACGGATTTCAATATTGCTCTTGAAAGGTCGTGCTCGCGAAAAAGGTACTATTCGCAACGTCAGGCTTTTTATTATTGATTTGAGTGCTTTTTGACAACCTGGGCATGTTCCGTAGCTAGATGTCCTGTGCTCTTTATTCAGGCCTTGTTCAACAAGAGCGTTGAGCACTTGGTCTCTTCTGGCATCTCCGCGTGCAATTTAATCTATACTATGGTGCACTTCTTCGTTGTAATCAGACGGATTTACATTTTTGTTGTGGTCGCATACTTCACTTGCTATCTGACAGTACTGAACGTGAATCTTCATTGAGGATGGTTTTACGTGAACGTTATCTCAAAGCTTTTTGCCATGCCCGTGAATTGTTTTTTCGTTTGTTGACCTCATTTAACGTTGCTTCAAATGTAACAACTCAGGTCCTTTGAGGTCACTCTAATACACGTTACATGCATTAGGTTCATAATCACTGAATAGTCATTTAATCATAGTCATTCCTTATCTTCACATAATGTTCACATAATGTACATATTCTGTGCCTCTGAAATGCGTTGCTTAGCTGTGACAAGCGAATGAAAATCCCGTAGAATATCTCGGAGTGTTTGATGGTGATTATCAAAATTCGTCTGCACTTTGCATGCTTCGTTTTTCTTTGCTAAAGTTTATAATTTTAACTGAACTTTTGCAAATAGCATCTATGGAAAGTTTCAAGGTGAATAAAGTAAGACTTGGGAGGTATTTCCCTTAAGAATGAGGGAGTTCACCTGAAAGTTCTGCCTTGGGCCAAAGTGCAGGTCCCATTCCCATTATCATCCATCCCATCATTTAATTTCTCCAAGTTTCATCTTTTCTGAAAGCAAATGATCAACAATATAGCCACAATCATAGCCAGATATGCATCCATTCGCTATGGACGAAATGGCTGCTTCCCTGCGAGATGAGTGAAGCTGATGAGGAATGAAGCAGTCCAAGAGATCGTTTCGGGATGGTCGTATTCACTGGGGCTTTTTTCTCGCGTAGCTGCAGCTTCAATGCACTGGGAGAGGAGGGAGCAATGGGCAATGTCAGTGCTATATGCAGATGTATCGTGGTCCAGCCAGTTCCCCTCTAAACGTGGCTAGCAATCCAATATGAGGACGGGCTTTTCATTGTGAGATATGGAGACGTTGCGACGAGTTTCTCCTGCTACTGCTGCTGCTACTGTGAGGAGGTATTTCATAGTTACCTTCGCAATGCTTGCGTGTTTGGTGAAATCTCCCTGAAAACCAGCGAATCCAACAAGTCAGGTGTAACATCCTCAGATGACGAAGAGCTTGCGATGATGGGTTCAGCCCAGGGTCAACCCTGCGTTGCGCAAATTCCCAAATTTTTACGACCCCCTTCCTTTTCGGGGGGTATCGGTACGACCCCCCATATTAACTATCATGTCTTTCACATAATTTAATGCTCATCAATGCTCATCAATGATGGCAGTCACCAACATGGAGAAGTGGTGGACCGTGGTCAATCCGCGCGCTCTTGTCTCGCTCAGAGGAGGAAATCGAGGCAAATGAAGTTTTATTCATTAAATAGAAGGAATTTTCCAAATTTTTGCGTAAACCAATACATCATTTTAATCGTAAAGATTTCTACTTTCAGAAACCCACCAGGATTTTTTCGATCTCTCAACTTTCCTTACCTTATAATCTGAAAAACTAAACCTTGTAGCAATTACATTGCAATCCAAACCCCTCCATTCAGAAGGTTATATTTTCTTTCAGAAGCTGTTTCATGAAATCGGACACCAAAATTTTAAAAATATAAATAGTTTTCTTCCTGAGGAGTATTTGAAATGTTGTGGATGTTCAATATTTCAAAAAATCGTCCCGTTGTTCCGTTTTCTGTGCACACGCGAGTTTTTGACATTCAAACATTCATAACTTTCTTCATAATCAACTTTTTGCAAATGTCTAAGGCTAATTAGAAACTAGAAGATTAGAGCTTTCGAACAAGCACCTGAAAATTTTCCAGCGATCATTTTTTCAAAAAATAGTCCCGTTGTTCCGTTCTTGGGTGGTTTGGGGTCCGATTTTTGAGAAGGCGCGAGTTTTCGACATTCAAACGTTAGTAACTTTCTTCATACTCAACATTTTGCAGATGTCTAAGGCTAATTAGAAACTAGAGGATTAGAGCTTTCGAATAAGTGCTAAAACTTCTTGAAATAATCACTCGCTCAAAAATAGTCCCGTTGTTCCGTCAATTCCACCTTGATTTTTTTCAAGCCTTTTTCCTGGACCGCGACTATGCAGTCTTTAAAGGCCCATAACTTCCTTTGAAATTAATGTGATGAGAAGCGGTAAAGATTGTTGGAATCCACTCGAAGAGTACTTCATAACAACTGTGAAATTTCCCTGAAATTCCTTCTTCTGCCTCAATTTTCCTACGGCGTCTCTAGAACTCAATTCAGCAAATTCGCTACACTTTGTTTCGCTTAGATTTTATTTGAAAGCATCAAAACTCTCTTCAGAAAGTTTGTCTGCTTACGGCCGCTGACAGAGGAGGCGTTTTTATGGAAAACGCCTGCTCGGGTATACGCCGTGCACCTATCTGTGGGCAGAATTCGCACTCGCATTTGAAAGTCTTCTGTTTTCCTGAAGAAGGTGTTAGTATCCTGATTGAGTTGTATTGTGCTGTTATATGGCACTCTTGTTTCACTTTCCCATGAAACTGCTCTACACTTTGTTCTCCTCGGGATTTCAGGAATGTTTCATCATCGAAGACAGACCATGTTTTTGCACTACACTGTAACAAAGTTTTTGGCTATTGTCTATTGTACTCTTGATCTATGCCGCGGAGCAAAAGCGCCGTCCGGATAGCGTCGATTAAAGGATAATAAGCTGATGGTGAGACTTATAGTGCTCTGCATGCTTTAATGCTCCCATGGAGCTCATGTCTGTGTGACTCTCCGACAGCGTGCAGAGCTCCTGGAGAACATTAGAGGCTGAAAGTGCACTCCCGGACACTGCACTTTTCAAGCCGTCTTGCAGCCCGTCTGTGGATACGACCCCCTCCCTTTTCGGTCGGCTGAATACGACCCCCTCGTTGTTCTTTGCGCAACGCAGGGTTGACCCTGGTTCAGCCTGCGAGGTGGACAACAGGCGTGCCGCTGTTGTTACCCGTGGTAGACTCGTGACCAGGGTGAATAACGGTCGAGGATTTCCTCGACCATAGCTCTCTACCATGCGAGAGTAGTGCCGAGAGTGAACATCCGCGCGGAGAGCACAGACGGCACGCCATGGCGAGTGTGAATGTCCGCGCGAGAGATCGTGTCTGACCGGGCAGAGAATCCTCGACGTGCCGTTGAGGAATCCTCAAGCGATATTCACCCTGCTCGTGACTCATCTGCACTGGTGACTGACTAGAGAATGTCCTGTCAATGGACGCAGGATGAAACCTCTGTAGATTTCCAGGCGTGCTTGTTGGTCATGGGTCCACCGCTGATCAACAGCAGACCCGAGGTTCTCGCAGCGGAGAATGTTTCGCGCTGCGAAACGCGAAAAAGTCGTTTTCTGTCCTAGTGGAACACACCTCTGGTCATGGTCAGTTGATGCATGCTGTTTCCATCTCTCATTTCGCTACAGCCCTTCCATTCAGGTGGCGATTCATGGAGCGTAGGCTGCGTCCAGCTGTTTGCTACGGTTTTTTTTTGGTAATAGCGCCCGGATGCGTCTCAAATTCATAGCGCAAGGGTCTTTATGGAAATAACTGGAGGTCCATGATGACGAACTTTACAGCTCCCATCATTTTATATCCTGTTTATCATACTGTCAGCTCATCATTGAGCCAATAGCTCAGCATCCGATCAGTGGCAAAAACTGGGGCAAACTGGCGCTGATTTTGCCTACCGCGCTCCTTGCAAGGTTTTTCTGAATGGTCACAAGGCAAATTGTTGAGTTTGGTCGTTGATCTAGTTCAATTCCTACCTGATTCTCGCGTCACGCATTCGAGCTTTCGACACATCCTGACTGAAGATCCTGATGTGTCCTCCAAAATATCAACTTATTTCATTATGAGGCCAATTGGGCACAAAAAATTGCATTGGAAGAAGAATCGGCTAGGAATTATGGGACAACCCAATAGAATTCAGTATTCAAACGGTCAAGAATGTAATAAGAGGTAGTTTCCAGTCATAAAAAAAGAATACGAATTACCTATCCCGTTTAGAATACAGGTTCCTTGCCCTTTATAAACTTAGCTTATCCCTCACTTCAGTACCTTCCTCACTGTTCCACTGCGTTTTGGAAGTAGTGCTCTTTCACATTAATTCAGATTTTCTCATAGGAAGCTCGGCAGTTGATTAATAAAAAAGTCAAATGTATATCATATATATTATATTCGAGAGTACAACCTTGGCATAGTTCAAGCAAGCCTTGTACTGTGAGCCCTGAATCACTGCGGAGATCATAAGGCGACGCTTAGGCTCACTGATGACTAGCACTCTGGTCTTATCAGCAACCTAGCCTCACCCGCAATCTGTGGACATGGGTGGGTAAACCAAGGCTCACAAAGAAATTGCCGTATCAAGTGCTGCGCGCGATGTTGCAGTCCACTGTGCCGCCTTTGCTTTGCCCCGCCCTTCGAAAAGAATAATTAACTAATACAATGCCGACCCGTGCCTTTAAGGAACAACAGATTCAAAAATAACTTCGTCTACTCAGGGTAAGGTACCAACAACACAGTGGGAACGCCATCAAGCAGGTCGGTAAAGCTGCAGGGTGGAATAAAAGTATGAGGACAGCCTGTGTACGCGGTAGGGTCTATTCGAGTACTTTCATTTCTGTCATCTTTTCTGTGCACTATGTGACGGGATGCAGTCTCTTAAGTTATTGAAGCCGAACATGATTTCACCGTGCCCTAACCGGCAAAGAGTGATCGTGGTGGGCCGCTGAACTCGCCGCGCGCGTGCTTGGGCGGCATGTTGGAGTTTACCTCCCTTGCCCTGCGCGCGAAGCGCGCGCGGCGTCGGCCGCAACGCTTCTACCATACTGTGTGCAGCGTGTATTCACACCACTTGCGCTGCAAGTGGATTTACAACAACAAATCCATTGGATCCAACAAATCCAATCCAACAATTCAAAAGCCAACAGACTCCTTCTGATTGGTAGCCACGTAAGACACGTGGCTACCGATCAGTGACCTAATCTAGAAAAGAACTCAAGAAAAGAAAGTAAAAAGCAAAAGAAAAGTAGGCAGGAAAAGAAAACAGGCATAATAGGAGTATTGATTTTCTATTTGTGGTCGCTTACTATCCTACTATCCTAATCTCGTACTCTACTAATATCCTAATATCCTGATCAATACGTATCTAATCTGTTCAGCGGAATCTACTACTATCCTACTATCGTAATATCGCAATCTACTACTCTCCGGCGATTTCAATCGATACGTATCTAATCTTGTCAGCGCAATCTCCTACTCTCCTACTATCCTATCGCTAGTCGCTCAGTATCCTATATCCTACTCTCTACTCTCTACTATCCTGATCTCCGGAGTCGCGAACTATGAACGCGGCTTTACTTACAAAACGCAGTGGAACAGTGAGGAAGGCACCGCGTTTTTGTGTTAGACCTTTCTCAGTTTCGCTGAAGTCCATCGAGAATACGCGTGATAACGTCTGGAGCTATTATCTCACAACTGTAAACATCCAGCATTCTTCTTGAATTCAGATAATTTAGCGGTGAATAGGATTGCTGTCAGTCTCAAAATGAAAATGAAATATGCCTATTTACATAAGTGAGGAGCTAAGGCTTATCATTTATTTACATTCACCATTATTTAGAACCCCGAAAGGATTAGCGGTTTAATGAGTTTGGGCTTTCTTGATAGATAGAAATGAAAGTTATCATTTGCTGAAGACTTGATTGAGTTTATGCAATCGACTGCTATTAAGTAAGCTGGTCATATCGATACAATGTGCACGTACCACTACAAATAGAATTTGTAAGTAGGGACGCTCTAGTGTCAACGCAGCTACGTAACGGAATTGACGACTTTTGCGTTCTGACGCGCCTTATCAGCCCTTATCAGTTGTAATCACTTTCAATCACCCACCAACAATGTCCCGTCCCACCCCACATAACACTTGTAAGTATGGACGCTCTGGTGTCAACGCGAGCTAAACGGAATCGACGACTTTTGCGTTCTGACGCCCTTATCAGCCCTTATCAGTTGCTATCGCTTTCATCACCTACCAACAATGTCCCCGTCCCACCCCACATAACACTTGTAAGTATGGACGGTGTCAACGCGAGCCAGGCAACGGAATCGACGACTTTTGCGTTCTGACGCCCTTATCAGCCCTTATCAGTTGCTATCGCTTTCATCATGTACCACCAATGTCCCGGGACCACCCCACATAACACTTGTAAGTATAGACGCTCTAGTACCAATATGAACGACAAAACGAAATTGGCGATGCTCGCTTTCTAGCCCCTCTTATCAGCTATTATCAGTCGTTATCAGTTCCTATCACATACCACTTGTGTCCCCATCCCACCCCCTATAACATATGTAAGAACCACTGCGCTATCGTTACTGTGACTCGAGCTATGAATTTCCGACAAACACACACACACACACACACAGACATACTTAGCGAACATAGTGCGCGTCAATTTTATATGCCACCCCCTAATTTTTTCAGTTTTCCGACTTATTTGGAAATTTCGTAAATCGGCATAGCAACCATCGGTTTCGGCGTGTCGGAAAACTAGGAACGGTGTTGTTTGATTTTGGTTAACGCGTGGATTTGATTTGCTCTGTTCTTTTGAAGAAAATGGGCCGCGTCAAATGCTTATGCCATCCTAAATTTTCTTCAGAATTTCTCATGTCTCTAACGCTATTCAGCTATGGTGTGCATGTAATACAAATGAGGAAATCCTCGACTCATGCAATGCACACAAATGGTGAAGCATTTAAACCACCACCTGAACTAGTCGGAATAATAGCACTTTCATACTTGGAACGTACCGGCATGAAACGCTTTATCAGAGCCTAACAGCTGTGTGCTGCACTCGTAGTACGACCAAACCTCGCTCCTGCTCTGTTTGAAAACCAACGAGAGTGACCAGCTGCCCTGCAAACCTGGCAATTGGAAGCGTCAACCGGAACCACTTAACTCTCTCAAGTTTCCCGCTTCGAATCCGTGGCCAGAAACCTTTTTTCCGTCAACGGCCTCCTTGCGACAAAGGCTCGAAACAACGATAATCCACGCCGGAGGCCGCTTCACAAAGTCCCTTTTTAGAGAGAACACGACTCGTACCTACTACCTGTCTGGTACCCATCACTGAACTCGATCGAAGTTTTCTTATCAAGGCGATGCAATGATGGCCCATGCAACCACTTCGGTTTCCCGTTCAAGTTACAACTGGCCCATGTCATCATTTTCGCTATCTCGGTATGAAAATTTTTCCAGAGAGAACCCGACAAAGTTCGGCGATGGGTACTACGCGGATTGTGAGTGCAACTCATATTCTCTCTGAACAGAGACTTTGTGAGCGTGAACGCTTCGAGCTTCGCAAGGAGCCAAGACCACAAAAAAAGTTGACCACGGATTCGAAGCGGGAAAATGAGAATTTAAGAGTTCCTTGAGCACTTCAATTTCCCCAGTTTTGCCTGGATACACTCCTCGTTGAGTTCTACAACAAGCAGCAGGAGCGATCGTACTAGTGAGCACACAGCTGTTTCTCTGATAAAGCGTTTTCATGCCGCTACCGTCCAGTATAAAGGCTAATATTCCGAACTAATCAGTTATAAATGCTTCACCATTTGTGTGCATTGCATGAGTCGAGGATTTCCTCATTTGTATTACATGCACACCGTAGCTGAATAGCGTTAGAGACATGAGAAATTCTGAAGAAAATTTAGGATGGCATAAGCAATTGACGCGGCCCATTTTCTTCAAAAGAACAGAGCAAATCAAAATCCACGCGTTAACCAAAATCAAACAACACCGTTCCTAGTTTTCCGACACGCCGAAACCGATGGTTGCTATGCCGATTTACGAAATTTCCAAATAAGTCAGAAAACTGAAAAAATTAGGGGGTGGCATATAAAAATTGACGCGCACTAACTATATAGGATCATTTGCTTTCAGGAAAGATAAAACTTGGAGAAATTAAAGGATGGGATGGATGATGATGGGAATGGAACCTGCACTTCGGCCCAAGCCAGAACTTTCAGGTGAACTCCCTCATTCTTAAGGGAAATACCTCCCAAGTCTTTCTTTATTCACCATGAAACTTTCCATATATGCTATTTGCAAAAGCAATTATAAACTTTAGCAAAGAAAAACGAAGCATGCAAAGTGCAGACGAATTTTGATAATCACCATCAAACACTCCGAGATATTCTACGGGATTTTCATTCGCTTGTCACAAACAGCTAAGCAACGCATTTCAGAGGCACGGAATATGTACATTATGTGAACATTATGTGAAGATAAGGAATGACTATGATTAAATGACTATTCAGTGATTATGAACCTAATGCATGTAACGTGTATTAGAGTGACCTCAAAGGACCTGAGTTGTTACATTTGAAGCAACGTTAAATGAGGTCAACAAACGAAAAAACAATTCACGGGCATGGCAAAAAGCTTTGAGATAACGTTCACGTAAAACCATCCTCAATGAAGATTCACGTTCAGTACTGTCAGATAGCAAGTGAAGTATGCGACCACAACAAAAATGTAAATCAGTCTGATTACAACGAAGAAGTGCACCATAGTATAGATTAAATTGCACGCGGAGATGCCAGAACAGACCAAGTGCTCAACGCTCTTTGGTTGAAAAAAGGCTGGAGTAAAGAGCACAGGACATCTAGCTACGGAACATGCCCAGGTTGTCAAAGAGCACCCAAATCAATAATAAAAAGCCTGACGTTGCGAATAGTACCTTTCACGCGAGCACACTTTTCAAGAGCAAATGAAATCCGTAACCATACAAAGCAACCAAGCTCTAAGTCTTTCGAAACTCGAAGTTCAATTCAAATGCCGAAATATACGGAAGATATAAAATACAACGCTAGATGGTGTTCGAAAAAGTTCACATTTCAAGCCTTCCAGTGGAGTTGTTGCTTGCTTCCTGATCCTTCATGTTGGGCTTGAAGAAAACGGCGCTCTTCATTAACATTTTTGTTAATAGAAGCTAGTCATTTTATAATCCGCTTCCACATGGTCCCTGATATCCTTATTCACCATTCAATAATTTATTTAGATCTTCCTCGGTCATTCTGAAACACTTCTTCATTCGATAATGGGAGAAAAACGTTTTGTTTGCGCTGCAACTGCAGAATAATCATAAAAACCCACGAATAATCGCAAATGATTATTAATTACAAACATACATTTGAGGAGCGATACGTGATCGGTGGTAAGTAGTGCAGCTTGTGTCCACATCAGGTAATTCGAAATCCTCTAGAACTTCTTGTGGCAATCCTTTGAAACACATTCGCACAAAATCCATGTCAGCTAAAAGAGATGCAAAACATATTCTTCCTCACAATAATTCATCACAAGGGAGCAGTAAAACTTGAGACAAACCGTAATAGTCAGATGTCCGCAAGCACATGGGACAGTGAGCCACTGGATCATACGCATCCTCGTTCCCTCTAGGTAAAGGTGAATCAAGAGAACGTGGATATACATTCTCAGCAACATTGTACATCTTTCGATAAGCGAACTCCGGATACAATACTGAAACATGAGAATTATCAAAGTCAAAACTATTTATGAATCACAGCGAAATGTAGAGGACTACGAGTAAAGCAAAATAGGTGAGAAGGGGGCGCTAATTGTCCTTTACTTTGACCTCATTTTTCTAAATTGAGCCGAATTTTTTGAAATCTGTCTTCCTTGATGACTTTCGCTGCGATATTACCTACAGAGGCAAATTGCATTGTAGCCTACTCTACAGCATTGAACAAGAGTATTCATGTTTCCACGTTTAACAGGTGTTTTTTTTATCTTTTTTACCTCCTGGTCCACATCGCACCCCATCTATTTCCCTATTCGGGTAGAATAGGTCAGCTTGGCCGTTGAGGTGTACTTTATTGCTATGTTCGCACGAATTACAGAGATCGCCTGGGGCTAGATTTCATCAGGGCTGAAGGTATGTTCCACTGTACAGATAGAGTTTAGATATTTCATTGCTTTTAGAATTATTGTCCAACACTGAGATGCATGGACTTATGTGGCCTTGTTGGCTGAGAAGGTGGTTATCGCTCGAGGAGTACAAAGAGTTTTCAATCTTTCAGAAATCTTTTTGACACCTTTTTCCTTCTCTGGAAGCTAACTTCTCAAGCTAAACCCTAACTTGAATGACCCCACAATGCGTGTATCTGCTGATAGCTGCAACTCGCTTTCATCAAGGATTACACCCGACATAAGACTAAAAAATGATGAAACACTCAAATTTTCCGATTCTGAGCTGTGCAGGGTAGGTCGTAAGCTCAACTACAAAAAAAATTTAGCCCATTTTTCACCCGTACTGTATGATACGCCACATTCACATTCAGGCACTATTTAGGACCATCTTATGTGCACGTTCGGGATGTCCGGCATAAAGTTACGCTCTAGGGCTGCACCATCTCCAATCTGTTGACAACCATATCTATATTCCTGGGTTTACTCAGCATGTGAACGGTCCTTACCGAGGAGAGTCCCTTTTTTGAGCATCCGTGGCCTCGCTTAGGTTTCCACTCCCATGCCAGCGAAAACACGGGCTATGCCTGAACCGGGATGTTAACTCGAATTGATGCTATTCCTGCTTTAGTCGAACATTCGAACACTTGAGGCCAGAAAGTTCCGTTGGTCAAAATCCGCTCCCATGGTCTTCAAGTGAGCACCTTTCGCCACAAATCCTCTACATTTCGGAACTGCCCTTCTTTTGCGCATTCTACAAAGCTTCTTGTATTCGGGCCATAGAATGGTGCAAACCTGTTCGAATTTATCACTAGATCCGATCGAATCTCTGACCAACTTTCGCATCTCAAATTAAATGTTCGGTATGCTGTTTAGAGAAAACGATATCCACCCCGTTAGTAGTCGACCTATTTGTAAAAGCCCCAACTGAATATCTTGTAAGGCTCTAACAGCGGAAACACGATCAAACGTGAATGTGTGAAAAAGAACCCTTTAGATGAAATCACTGTGACCCCTAATTTGGCGCACAAATCTACCTCGAAATGGTGAGAATAATTATTATGAACATCATTTGATAAATAATCAAAAGCGTACGGTATTACGTCATGAGAATACTAACATTTCGGAACAGCCGCTCTCTGAACTGCAGTTACATTGCCATAGCCATCAATTACAACTGGCGGAACAGGAATCGCCGCAGGCGAAACCATCAAATGACATCGCCCACGCTCCCCAGTGGTAGCTTTGAAGTGGAGACCATTCTGAATTAAGAGAAAAAATAGAAATTGACTACATCGTGAACTACACACGGAAGACAGAGAATACTTCGTCAGATTCTACTTAAGAAACGAACCACTGTAAGAAAGTCTATAGTAGGCTGCTTGTTGCCTTCTTGATCCACTGTGGAGCCAGACTGAAGCGCGAGCGTGCGATCCATAAGTCCCAGTAGCTCCTCCATATCCAGGTAAGCTGGCCTGAAAGGAAATGAAAGGAAGTAGTCGTGCCTGAAGCTTGATGAAAACTTACCTATTGTCCATATCTGAAGCAAATGGCATTTCTGTAAGAGCTAGCTTGTGCTCTGGACCAAATATACCAGCAACAGACAAATTTGTTCGTTGAGCCATATCAAAAACGTCAATTCCCTCTGAAAAAAAAAACATGGCGCGTTACATTTGATTACCGTTAGTCACTCCCATCATTTTTTTCAACATGTTAACGACTAATGTGTGGACAGAACAGTCAATAATTAATAACTATACCGCTTTTTGGTGTTAATTAACTTTTGTGACGTCGGTGTTGCTTAGCCTACACGCAACTCTCAGGGCGCACGCATGGGTGTGGGTACTTAGGACAGAACGCGACTTTTTCGCTCTTCGCAACGCGACATCGCGCGGCAGGCTGGCGCACCCGCAGCGAAAACAACTACGGTATGGAAGAACGCGCGATTGGAGCACGATATTTGTGTCGGCTTTGATTGCGACAAGGAGTTTGAAGCTTAATAGCCATGGATTTGATAATGAACGAGGAAATGGTAACCAGAAGTGGACCGCTAACTAGCAGTGAAGAGGGAGGTAGGTTATTTTTGCAGAGATGGATGGTAGAGCTTCTGGAGAACCTGGAAGAGGAATGGTTGATGGACGTTTGATGAGACGACTGTAAACTTCTGCATAGGGGTTATTTGGGGCCCTGATCATGAATATGACACTCATTTTTCACATTCGTGCTGTTTAACGCATACTTTCTGCTTTTCTAAGCTTTCTCACCTACAGCGCCTACGACTAAGCTTAGGGGAGGGGAGTGAAACTCCGGAGTGGGTAAACCACGCACCGTGTGGCAAAAGTTGGAGTGTGTCAGACCACAGGGGAATGGCCTACCCACTTTGGAGCCCTACACTACTCAAAGGCTTAGTCCTATTGCGATCTAATTAGTGCGAGGGCGCAGACGAGCAGGAAGCAGGCGCCGAATAGCGCTAACAACAAATCAGGACCCCGAATAACCCCTATACAGAAGTTTACAGCGAATTTAGTGGGAATCAGTTGTGGCGCCACCCGGCCCCAAATGGCGCCAGCGTCAAAAATGAGTATCATATCCGTGATGAGGACAGAAGCGTTCCGTAAAAGATGTTATACCCTTATGCAGATGTCTATACAACAATATGAACCCACAAAATGCAAGCACAAGCGACACTATTAAACCCTCGTTCACCGATAATTCGTAAAACACCATTTGTGTGGCATCGCCCGGAATCGTGTAAGTCACAAAACGTTTTCAATAATGAGACAGAATTAGTGATTCACCGCATTTATCAATACAATGGGTGTGAGCGCGGGACAAGTAAAGAATCAGAAACTAAATTCACGCATGGAAAAATAGCCGCTCCAATCGCGCGTTCT